GTGGGATCTACTAGCCTAGGGGAATAAGAGGAGAGAAAAAAAGTTAAATATTTAATTCCTTGCTCTCTCCCTGCTGGATTTGCCAACAGCACAGCTTCTGTCAGTGGCCTTGTCATGGGATGAAATCTATCCCTTCAAAAAAAAAAAAATGACATGTTGGAGTCCTAATCCCCAGGTCCTTAGCATGAGTCCTTAGTTGCAAAGTCTTCACAGAAGTCATAAAGTTGAAATGAGGTAATTAGGGTGAGCTCTAATTCAGTAGGGTTGGTGAGAAACACACACAGGAAGACAGGAAGACAGGAAGCAGACACACAGGTAGAAGATGGCCAGCCATCAATAAAGCAAGGGAAAAGCCCCAAAGAGATTCTCTTTTACAACTCTTAGGAGGAGCCAACCCTGCAAACACCTTGATTTTGGGAAGCTGAGATTGGCAGGACTGTGGTTCAGATGTGCACCCAGGTAGGGAATGAGACCCTAACTAGCACAAAAGGGGCTAGACGTGTGGTTCAATGGTAGAGTGCTTGACTAACAAGCATAAGATCCTGAGTTCAAATCCCAATACCCTCAAATTCCAAGAACTTTGAACAATGTAATAGTTTGTCATAACCAAGACAAGGAGGGGTGTGAGAATACATGTGTAAAAGATATACACAATGAAATTTCAAGATGCCAAAAATAAAGTGTTAGGGAAGATCCCAAGGGCTGTATTAAAAAGTAAGTTAAGGAGTGGGGGCTGGAGAAGGGGGAGCTGGGAAGGGATGGGAAGGGAAAACAAAGGAGGAGGCAACAATGCTTGATAAGAAATGTACTCATGAGCTGGGCGCTGGTGGCTCACGCCTGTAATCCTAGCTACTCAGGAGGCTGAGATCTGAGGATCGCGGGTCAAAGCCAGCCCAGGCAGGAGAGACCGTGAGATTCCTATCTCCAATAAACCACCAGAAAACCGGAAGTGGCGCTGTAGCTCAAGTGGTAGAGCACTCGCCTTGAGCTGAAGAGTTGAGGGACAACGCCCAGGCCCAGAGTTCAAGCCCCATGACCAACAAAAAAAAAAAAAAAAAAAAAAAGAAATGTACTCATGATCTTGCCCATGTAATTGTAACCCCTCTGTATGGTATTTTCACAATAAAAAATAATAAAATAAAGTATTAGTTCACAGGAAAGGGATTTTCCAGAAATTTTACTGTGACACTCCTCAAGAGCAGCCCCCCCCCCCAAAAAAAAAAAACAACAACCCACAATTGTTCATTCATGATTTCTGGAAAGTTCCACTCTTAAATGGACTTGCAGAAAAACTGCTAGAGGAAGAGGGGGAGGCCTACGTATCCAACAAAGAATGAATACCGAAGAATAGCTAATACTTTTAAGAATAACTTCTGGTAGGGCCAAGGCCAGAAATAGCAAACTGTGAATTTGGAAGATGGAGGATAAGGACTTTTTAGGTTACATTAATTTATTACTTATTTTTTGGTCGGTCGTGGGGCTTGAACTCTGGGCTTGGGCACTGTCCCTGTGCTCGTCAGCTCAAGGCGAGTGCTCTACTGCTTGAACCACAGTGCCACTTCCAGTTTTCTAGTGGTTTATTGGAGCTAAGAATCTCACGGACTTTCCTGCCCGGTCTGGCTTTGAACCGAGATCCTCAGATCTCAACCTCTTGAGTAGCTGGGATTACAGCGTGAGCCACCAGCACCTGGCTTTTAAGTTACATTTAAAGCAAGGAGGAGCTGGGTAAGGGAAGAGGGGGAAGGAATAGCTTCAGAATGGAGGAGGGGAACAAACTTAGATGGATATTTAGAGAGATCTTAGAAAAAGTGTGGAGAACTGAAGCATGATGTGAGAAACACAGATTTCTTTCTTTAAAAAAATGATTAATTCTAGTAAATCAATCCAGTGAACATAACATTGGCTTTGCAAAAATTTTCAAATGAATTATTTAAACAGATGGCTAGTAAGCTCTTGGGGAGAGAAGCAATAATCAGAATATGTAGGATAGAAGCATAATAAGCCAAACATTTCCTTTTAGATGGATTTGTAGTAACCATTTGGATTTTAGCACAATTCTCTCTCATATTGTCTTTGTCAGACTCTCTCATCCCATTGTTTCTTATAAACTTCAGATCATTTTTTCAAATAAATATTTTAGCTCCCACTAAGAGCCAGACACTGAAAACTTAGACAGGTTCCCTACTGTCATAAAGTTTGTTTTTCTAGTGGGTAGTTCTTTCCCAATTCTAACTCCTTCCCCTTCTTCAGACACCAGCTCTTTCTAGTCTTTGCTAAAACAGCACAGTCCTCAAACCCCAGGGCTTTGTTTTCTGTGCCTAGTTCTCCTTTGGTTCTCAAGTTTCAAGTAGAGAAGAGACTAGGCTGCAGTTTTCCTTGGCCAACAGGTGCTGTCATCTTTCACAACATGCTCAGAAATGTTATCATTCCGGTTCCATGCAACAAATATTATCTAAATTTCAAATTTGGCAAACCTACCTTACCAGCCTTCAATCATCATTAGTCTCATTCCCACCCACAAGTTTCCAGTCATACCTTTTCGTTGAATCAATTTTTTTTCATTCCTTCCCCAACTATAGAGATAACTATTCATTTTCCAACACCAGGTCTAAAGCTTCCTCTTCCCTGAATGGATTTAATTACTTAGTTAGCTCAGTAAGTCTAGCCTGCACCTCCATGTTTGATTTGGGCTGTACAATTATACTCTCTTCTTGCTCTCCTAGATTACTTGTGTTGCTTGCCCACCTGAGTCTCAATTCTTTTAGTATAAGGGTCTTCACAGTTTCCTTTCTAGCTCCATGCAGTACAACAACAACACAAGGTTTCAGCCAACAACTCACTAATGTATGACAGTAGCCCCATGGATTAGAGAACCTGGTAATTTTGTAGCCATCTTCATTCTTCCAAGACAAAAATTTAAAAAAAAAAAATTGCTGAGTGCTGGTGACGCACTCCTGTAATCCTAGCTGAGATCTGAGGATCACGGTTCAAAGACAGACCCGGCAGGGAAGTCTGTGAGACTCTGATCTCCAATAAACCACCAGAAAACTGGAAGTGGCGCTATGGCTTCAGTGGTAGAGTGCTTGCCTTGAGCTGAAGAGCTGAGGGACAGCGCCCAGGCCTAAAGTTCAAGCCCAGTGACAGAAAAAAAAAATCACCCTACTACATTATTTCTCAAAACACATCCCTTTTCTTTTTTATTTAATATATATTTTTTTTATTGTAAAGATACTGTACAGAGGGGTTACAGTTATGAGTAAGGTAATGAATCCATTTCCTAAGGAGCATTGTTATACCCTCCTTTGTTTTTCCCCTACCATCCCTTCCCTCCCTATCTCCCCAACCCCACCCCTGCACTTTTCAATAGTGTTTGACAAGTTAAAGATCAAGCTAAGAATGCTTGAAATGGTTGAAAAAAGATAAAAAAAGAGTATTTCACCATAATGTGAAAAGTATATAAAATTCAAATTTCAGTGACTGTAAGTAAAGTCTTTATGGGAAAACAGTCCATGTTTTCTGACTGGTTTTGAATCCTAGTGGCAGAGGTGAATGCCTAGGAAGGAAACCTTGGAGTAATAAAGCTTAAATATTGATTGTATGGCCTAGATCAGAAACACTCTACTGACTGTGCTTTACAATATAAGCGTCTGATCATTGAGCTAACTGATTTGGCATATCAAGTATTCTGAGTATACATCCTTTTCAAGTTTTCATTTCTTCCTGTAATGCTATAGTAACTATCTTACCTGTAAGTGGTCATAAACATCACACGCGCTAATACACTAATGAAACTACAAAAACATCCTACAACCTTTATCATGCACTGAAAAAGTGTGGTAAAATGAGAAAATATTAAAACATTTTATGTCCCTTCTTTCCTTAACAATTTTCATTTAAACTTGCAATTTTAAGAGAAAATTCACTTTTGAAAATTTTCACGGGCTGGGAAGGTGGCTCAGTGGTAGAGTGCTTGCCTTGCATGAATGAGGCCCTGGGTTCGATTCCTCAGAAGCAGAAAAAGCTGGAAGTGGCACTGTGGCTCAAGTGGTAGAGCACTAGCCTTGAGCTGAAGAGCTGAGGGACAGCGCCCAGGCCCAGAGTTCAAACCCCAGGACTAATCAAAAAATTTTTTTTTCACCTTTTTTTTATTGTTGTTGTTGTGTGTGTGTGTGTTTTGCCAGTCCTGGGGCTTGAACTCGGGTTTTTAAACTTTTAAATAAGGTCACAGGTTTCCTTCCTTCTCTTTCCTTTATTTCTGACATGTAATTTTTTTTCTCCCATTTTCTTTAACCTTTTTTTTTTTTTTTTAACTCAAGGCCTGGGCACTGTCCCTGAGCCTCTTTGTGCTCAAGGTAGCGCTCTGCCACTTGAACCAGAGCGTCACTTGCAGCTTTTTCTGAGTAGTGTACTGGAGATAAGAGTCTCGTGGACTTTCCTGCCCGTGCTGGCTAGGAACCATGATCCTCTTCTCAGCCTCCTGAGTAGCTAAGACCACAGGAGTGAGTCACCCGCGCCGGCTTCTTCAGTCTCAATTGGATCTCCCAATAAATAGCTCAAGGCCGGCCCCGCGACTAGGTGGGACAAGGTGGTTGACCAATCCATTGGCCAGGAAACTGAGGCACATCCCAATTGTCTGCAGAACTGTGACTGACTCAGCACATACTGAGTCCTCAATGCTCCATTGAGCACTTTTCCTAAAAGACGACTACCTACGGCGGGGTCAATAGAACGAAACTCACCTAGCCAGGCTTCGGAGCCCGGGGTTCCTCCCTCCGCCCCGCCCCTCCCACTTCTACTCGTCTCTTCTCTTCCCCGCTTCTCCCCCCCCCTCCCCCCCCCGGCCCTGGAGCAGGTGGTAGGCTCCGCGCTCCAGCGCAGGCGCGCAGTGCCGTGGGGCGGGGCGAGGCGGGGCGGGGCCTGGGGCGGGGCGTGCGCGGTCTCGGATTTGGGCCGCGGCGGGAGCCGGAGTCGCCGCCACTCGAGTGCGCAGGCGCCTGGCGGTTACCGGTCTCGCCATGGAGCGGAAAGGTGAGCGGTGGAGCGGCCTGCGCCACGAGGGGCAACGGCCTCCGGGGCGAGGCCCGAGTCAGAGCCAAGAGCCTCGCCTCACCGCCGCCGTCCGGTAAACCGGGCGTGCGGCGCTGCTCCTCTGAGGTGGCGCCTCCCCTCACCCTCCGCCTCTGGTCGGTGGGTCGGCGCCCCTCAGGCCGGGCGTCCTCCGGGGTTGGCCGTCACCGCCCCTTGTTCTCCGCCAGGTCGGCTCGCGCCGCGCGGCCACTCCTGCACCCGGCCATCCGGCCACGCCGAGTCTCGGCCCGGCCCGAGCTCCCTCGGGCGCACCCCGGCTGGGCGCTGCTCCGCGCCCCGTGGGCCGCCGGCCTCCCGGTTCCAGCCGCGGCACTGGCCTCGCAGCCGCCCCTGAGGCTGGCCCCGCGACTCGGCCTGGCGCCCCTGCTGGGTCTCCACCCTCGGCTGGGTCGCCTCCTTTCCGCCACATTTGTCCTTCATCCATCCCTCTCTCCTGCAGTGCTTGCGCTCCAGGCCCGAAAGAAAAGGACCAAGGCCAAGAAGGACAAAGCCCAAAGAAAGTGAGTCGTGTACCCCAACATCGCGTACCTCGGATTTCTACGGGCGTCTCCTCTGCGCTCGTTGCGCGGCTCGGACGTGCCCCGGGTTGAGCGCGCTCCCCTCCCCCCCACGGAGCCCCCCCCCTGCGGCGGCGCCCCCCCCCACCCCCCCCCCCCACATGGCCTCCGAGACGCTTGTGTCGCTTTGCGGACCTTGTGGGAAGGGTGTTGCTGCGGAATGCGAGGCCTGCTAGGTAGAAAGCCCCTCCCCGCCTTTCTGCTCCCAAATCCACCGAGGAGGAGACCCAGCTCCCCAAGTGCCTCCGCCCTCGCCGTTGCGGGTAGATGATTGATTACCAGTCTTTGAACTCTGGTCTCCCTTCCTTCCTGGCTTTCCTGCGTCTTTAACCAAGTGTGCATGGCAGGCCATTAGGATGTTCTTGAATAAATTTTCCGTGTTTGCTTTTGGTGGTGCCAAGCTCACGCTCTTTTCCTTAGCGGAGGGCAGCAGAGCGTGCCTCTGGCAGTCCACGTCCTGAGTCTGCAGGCCGACCCCGGGGTGCACAATCGGCCCACTTCCTAAACCCCGAGTTCTCACACGGAGCGCGGGTAAATGGCCTTCTGGAGGGTCATGACTTCCCCACCGAACGTTTAGGCGATTCTGGTTCGATGGATTAAATGCCACATGCCCACTTTGATCTGAAGGATGCCTAACTGTGGTTTAGCGCTATTGTGGGAAGCACAAAAGTTCTTCACTGCCTGGTAAAAACGCCCCCGGTGGAGGGCTTCTGCAAGTGACGCTCAGCTTTAATTTTCACTTGTGCCAACGTTTTTTGCAAAAGCCTGTCCAAGTCGTCTTAGACCATTTGTATTCAGAAGGGGGAAATCAAAACAAAACCTCTTAACATTACATGCACATTTTCTGTGCAGGTTTTCCATTTAGTTGGTATTTTGTGGTGGTGTATGCCATCCAGTCCTTTCGGAACTGATGTGACACATTTCAAAGATATTCTTAGGTCACCCTACTGAATGACAGTATCAGGTAGTGGCCAGTGGGTGTGTTTTTTGGAGGCTACCAAATAGCACCTAAGAGGTCTTTCAAAAGAACTGGGCGGTAGGCGAACTAGATGTGTTTTGAATTCTTGCTCCATTTTCTATTATTGCTTATGAATTTTTTTATTTTGTTAAATACTTGGTGACCAGGGCATGTGTGTGTTTTAACAGCAGGTACCCACTACTTTGAATTATCTATGTAGACCATATACTTGTTGCTCTTCATGACTAGTAGATAGCCAAAAGTTAAGTGTTCTTAATTTTGTACAACATAACAAGAGAATGAACTACCTCTATACTTCTAATCTAAAAGATGCTTTTGCTTTTAGTTATTTCTTTTCAGTTTTACCTTCCTCTTCTTGTTTGTCCAGCCTTTTAAATATCTAGTGTCTAATTAATTAAGTTGGTTAGAATACTGTGTCAGAAGTTCAAGCTCCATCTGACTCAGGTAACTTGATTCTGTTCATGACTCCTGACTACACACCTGACAACTTCCAGTTATTTTGCAAAGGCAAGCTACTAGTACCAGATTAGTAGGTCTGAGGGAAAAAATGGCATAGAATTGGATCTTTGGAGTGAAATAAGCTGGTTTTGCTACTGATTTCCAACCATGTAACTGTGGGCAACTTAGCTAAGAAAACAAGCCTATATATATACTTATATGACCGTTGCAACAATATATCTAGCACATAATTGTAAAAACATTAGAAATATTTGAAAGAATATACAGTTATGATTGAATGGGTTTTCATTCCCTGGTGTGTAAAGCTAGAACCCATGAATTGGATGTCAGGTACTGGAGGTCATCATGCTGTTTGCCTTGGAGTCTCTGCACTTGTCTTCCAGCACAGTGTTGTTTATTTATTTATTTATTTTTTTAAATTTTATTTTATTGTAAAGCTACTATACAGAGGGTTACAGTTACATGAGTGAGGTAATGAGTACACTTCCTCTTGAACACTGTTACCCCCTCCATTGTTTTCCCCCTACCATCCCCTCCCTCCCTCCCTTCCCAGAGGTTCTTTTTTTTTTGATTGTGATTAAATGATTACATAATTTCAAAGTCACAAGTTCATTCTAACTTCCCTGGAGCAAATTGTCTACCACAGTCTGTAATATATAACAGTGTTCACATGTTATATACCATGTTTGTGATCAGCAGCATGGGGATATTTAGTAGTGGTTCAACCAGATGAGCGGGAGTTCTTTGTTTCTTAAGTCCTGTTAGTTTTGTTGTATCACCTAACCTTTTGGATTTAGCATCCACTTATCAGGGAGACCATGTACCGTTTGTCTCTTCGTTCTTGGCTTACCTCGCTCAACATGATTCCTTCTAGCTCCATCCATTTCCCTGCAAATGCCATTATTTTGTCATTTCTAATGGCTGCATAATATTCCATTGTGTATAGATACCACAATTTTTGGATCCATTCATCTGTGGTGGGGCATCTAGGTTGTTTCCATATCCTAGCTATTGCGAACAGTGCTGCAATAAACATGGAGGTACACGTGTCCTTGTATATTGGTTCCTGTTGTTCAGGGTAGATGCCTAGAAGTGGTATGACTGGGTCGTAAGGGAGGTCAATCTTTAGCTTTCTAAGGACCCTCCAGACTGCTTTCCAAAGTGGTTGTATAAGTGTACATTCCCACCAGCAGTGTAATAGGGTTCCTCTTTCTCCACATCCCCTCCAGCATTTGTCGTTGGCTGATTTGTGGATGTGGGACATTCTGACTGGGGTAAGGTGGTATCTCAGGGTTGTCTTTATTTGCATTTCCTTCACCACCAGGGATGATGAACATTTCCTCATGTGTTTCTTTGCCATTTTTATTTCTTCATTTGAGAAGTCCCTCTTTAGTTCCCTTGCCCATTTAGTAGTTGGTTTGTTAGGTTTGGGAGGGATTAGTTTCTTGAGTTCCCTGTATATACAGGATGTTAACCCCTTGTCTGATATATTGCTGGTAAATATTTTTTCCCAATTAGTTGGTTGTCTTTCTAGCTTAGTTGCGATAGATTTAGCTGTGCAGAAGCTTTTTATTTTAAGGTAGTCCCATTTGTCGAGTCTCTCTCCAACTTGTTGTGACCCTGGGACTCTGTTCAGGAAGTTCCTTCCTGTGCCTATTAGTTCAAGTGTCTCTCCTACTCTATCCTGCAGTAGTTTCAAAGATTCAGGTTTAATGTTAAGGTCTTTAATCCATTTTGAGTTGATGTTGGTGCATGGTGATAGGCTGGGGTCCACTTTTAGTTTTCTGCATGTGGCTGCCCAGTTTTGCCAGCACCAGCGGTTGAAGAGGGTGTGTTTCTTCCATTGTATGTCTTTGGCTCCTTTGTCGAATATCAGCTGGCTGTAGGCCTGTGGATTTATATCTGGATCTTCTATTCTGTTCCATTGGTCTTCCGGTCTGTTTTTGTGCCAGTACCATGCTGTCTTTGTTATTATAGCTCTGTAGTAGAGTTTGAAGTTCGGCATGGATAGCCCTCCCATATTGTCTTTATCCCCTAGAATTGTTTTGCCAGCACAGTGTTTAGAGTGTTCCTTTTGGGTTCTATCACTGTGCTGAAAGATTTAACCTTGGGGAGGTTTAGTTGTCTTTTTTGAACCTTTCTTCTTCACATTTTTTATGCATTATTTACTAACATTAACTAGTTTGTGATAATCTCCATTTTACAGATAAAGAAATTGAAGTCTGGCTAGGTGCCGTTGGCTCATACCTGTAATTCTAGCTACTCAGGAGGCTGAGATCTGAGGGTCTCAGTTCAAAGCCAGCCCAGGCAGGAAATGCCATGAGGCTCCTATCTCCCATAAACCATTCAGAAAACTGGAAGTGGCACTGTGGCTCAAGTGGTAGAGCGCTAGCCTTGAGCTGAAGAGCTGAAGGATAGCACCCAGGCCCAGAGTTCAAGCCCCATGACCACAAAAAAAGAAAAAAAGAAATTGAAGTCTGACAATTTACTCCTATAGAAAATTGTAAAGCTAGAATTTAAACCTAGGTATGACATGCTTTATAGTCATGGTTATTAATCACTAGGTGATAATGCTTTCTAATGCATCTGAAGATGAGGTAGAGGCCCAGTGAGAAGAGGGTTTGGAATGAAAAGAGAGTTTGGGGACCTTGGTGTTCAGGTACCCTTCCATGATACACTGTTTTTGTCTCTGAGAGAGCACAGTGCTCTATCTGCATTTGAGTATTTGAATTTTAGTATGTATACCAGTAGCCATGTGCCTTTGTCTATCATAAGCTTCTAAATTTTTTTTGTTTTTTTCTTTTCTTTTCTTTTGTTGGTTGTGGGGCTTGAACTCTGGGCCTGGGCGCTGTCCCTGAGCTCTTCAGCTCAAGGCAAGCACTCTATCACTTGAGCCACAGCACCACTTCCATTCTAAAATTACTTTATGAATGTAATACCAGAAAGAATTTCATATCTAATAATTTCAATAGGAAGTTAGTGTGGAGAATAATGCTTTATTTGTATTTGCAGTTAAGTAACTTTATGGGTATAGAATAAATTGGTAGTAAAATTATTCACTTGAGCTGGGAAAGTACTTTTTTTTCCCAGACTTTTTTATTTATTTATTTTATTTTATTTTAATTTTTTAAGTGTCGGTCGTGTGCCTGAACTCTGCCTGGGCGGTCCCTCAGCTCTTCTGCTCAAGGCTAGCATTCTACCATTAGAGCCACAGCACCACTTCTGGCTTTTTCTGCTTATGTGGTGCTGAAGACTCGAACCCAGGGCCTCATGCATGCAAGGCAAGCATTCTACCACTGAGCCACCTGCCCAGCCCATCCCAGCCCGCTTTTTAACTTTTGGTCTTGTTTTGGGCCTGGTGCTTGAACTCAGGACCTGTGTCCTTGAGCTCTTGTTTTGCTCACTGTTAACACTCTGACTTGAGCCACACCCCCACTTCTGGTTTTTTTCCCCCCATTAACAATTAATTGGAAGTAAGAGTCTCATAGACTTTCCTGCCCAGGTT